ACGTTAAAAAAGAAAAGGGTAAAAGTTAAAAAAAATTAGCAGAAGAAGAAAAATAAATTGAAAAAGAAAAAAATTAAATTAACTGCAAGGCTAAAGAATCATGGGGAGAAAGCCAGGAGTTCCGTGCTTTGCTTTCTCCTCCTCTGGAATTCCGCTGCTCTCCTTGGTATTGAAACTGCACCCCTTGGTACGTGCACTTGGTCCTGGCTGGGTTTCTTTTGATCTTCTGGGGGAGGGGCCTGTTGTAGTGATTCTCAAGCGTCTCTGCCCCAGGCGGAGTTGCACCGCCCTTACCAGGGGCCGGGCTGAGTAATCCGCTCGGTTTTGCTTTCCGGAGCTTTTGTTCCCTGAGCGCTTTCCCTTTCCGTAGAGTTCCGGAGGGCGGGAATGAAGATGGTGGCCTCCCGGTCTCCGGCCCGGAGGAGCTAAGAGCCCGGGGCCCCACTCCTCAGTGCGCCCTTAGAGAACAGCGCCAATTTACTCCTGTCACCCTGCCTCCGGCCGCACTCCGAGCTGACCGAGCCTGCGACCGGTTCAAGGTAACCCCGAGCTTAGAGCTTACTCCTCGGCTCTGTCTCTGTAGCCGGCTTCCCTGTTCTAATACCTGTAAGCTCTGCGACACTCAGACACCCCCGATCCTTCTGTGACCCTGCGGGACCTGAGGCCACGCTGACCCTGCGTGGGCTTCACCCCGGTTAAGCCTCTGGAGCGATGTCCCTCAGCGGAACAGACTTTTAAAAGTCCCGATTTTGTGCTCCGTTGCTCCGCCGCTTGCCGGGAGCCGGCCCCTCCCCCCGCGGTCTATCTTCCCGTCGCTTTGGATTCACTTCTCCGCCAGTCCTAATTTTCAGAAAGTGGTTGATTTTCTGTTTCTAGAGTTGCTGTTCTTCTTCTCTTCGATCTCCCATTGGATTTGTAGGTGTTTGCAATCTTTAGATAAGCTATCTAGCTGATCTCCTGCTACCTGAAGTAGTCTCAGCCTGCTACTTCTCCATCTTGACTCCTCCTCCTTTTTTATTATTAAAAGGAATCCTTAACGTCCTGAGCCAAGGATGTGCCAGAGTTACGCCTCCATTAGAAGCCACCAGTGGGCAAGAAATACCCTCCTGCCTGGCCATCCACTTCTAAACTGAACTATAGCTTTCTTCATTCGCATCTTCTTTCTTCTTGCCGCAGAGAACCTAATGTTCACTTCTTAGTCCCGGAACCAATCCCTCACGTCCTCTTCTCTGCTGACTGAGACTCCAAGGCAGCTGGCCGCTCCCTCACAGAGGTCCGCATGGGACACTGTGTGCCCTTCTGTGCACACGACACAATTATCACATCTCCCCAGCTGTCTCTTGTGCCCAGCAGACTGTAGGCTCCTCAAGGGCGGAGGCCATGAGCCACTCCTCTTCATATCCTTGCCACCCAAGAGCCATGCACTAAGATGAAGTAGAAGCCTCAACTGCACGGACAACGAGAATCCCAGAACGATGAACAGGGTTCCCGAGATGATCGAAAGGTTCACATAACAGCTTATACTTGGTAGGTATCACGCTATTTTCTAAGAGTCTGGGCATATCAATACATTTAGTTCTTAAAACAGCCCTATAAGCTTAAGAAAACTATTCATTCCATTTAACAGATGAGAAAAGTGAGGCTCGGGACTGAGAAACCTGGGTAGGTCATGGAGCCATGAGTGGCAGAGCCAGGGCCACCCAGGCAGTGTGGCTCCAGACTTAACCTTCAGGCAGAACTGCCTGGCCTGCCACACCACCTCTTATGCTCTCACTTGGATACTTCTGGCAGGATTTAGAAGCTACTTCAGTGCTTGTGCTCTGTGCTAGCTTCAGTGACCTGGAGTCGGGTAAGAGTCAAGGGGGGGGGGGGTCAGGCGCCAAGGACTGTGAGAGTCCAGGGATTCCTGCTGGTATAAACCCCTAAGGACTTTGTGTCTGGGTTAGTTCTCTAACTACCTTCCCTTCTTTCCCTAAGTCCCAGGGGCTAGCTTACCCTGCACAATTAGGACCCAGTGCTTTCCCTCAATCTTCTTATCACTGAGGGTTTCTAAAGATTTTTACTTCTAGCGGACACAGAGAAATAGAAATGCTAACAAAGTGACAGTAAGAATCCAACCATCCCTCTAAATGAATCAATTCCCTGAGCTTTCTTAACGCTCCTTCTCTTTTCTCATGGGGAGCTTCCTTCTCTCTCTCTCTCCTTTTTTAATCAAAAAAGGCAAAATAATCAAGCCTAAGGTAATATTCATCTACTTTTCAGAGACAAACAGACCAGTATTCCTCCCTCTTCACACCACAGAGGGTGGTCTGGCCTCCACACTGTCCATGCCAAGCTCGCTCCGTGCAGGATTAAGGGAGAACGGGAGGTGGGAAGACTGCCTATCCTAGAATTTGAATGAGAAGAACCTAACTCTGCTTGACAACTAAATGGAGAGGAAAACACTATTCTCTGACTAACCTGGTAGTCAGAGACTAACCTGGTAACCTGACTAACACTTTTTCAGAGAAACTTCATTTCTTCTTTCCTTAATTCATAAAGAATATGCATTGCTTCTCAGGAAAAAAAAGAAAAAGAAATGCCATTTTAATGCACTGGCGTTTTTGTTTTTCTCCTTTCATTTGTGTATGTGCAACCTTTCCCTTTATCTCCATTTCCTCTCATTTGTCTATTTTTTTAAAAATTTACTGCACCCATCCTCCGCCCTCAGATTCACGTCTACACAATCTCTCACTCCTGCCAATGCCCTCACTTTTTACTTGCATGTAATTTTCCAAACACCTGAGGTTTGTTTGCTTGTTTGGTAAACAAAGAAATCTTTCTTACGATGGCAGGGCGTCTTTGATCTTCATGTGGGAAATGTCATTGTAGAGAGCAATGGAAACCACCTCTTCCATGGGGCAAATGAGGCCATACTCCTCGCAACCATTCTCAATGACCAGGGGATCAGACTTGTGAGGGTCAAACATGATGTTGTTAGGAGTAACAATCATGACGCCTCCGACCACCCCCTGCAGGAGAAAGGGACAGGACAGAATCGTTACTGGCAGAAAGGCAACCACCACAACCGCTTTAATGAACTCCTGTTGCCTTTCGGTTGACTCTGGGGAAGCATGGTTATCTTATGTGACAGTCGTGTCCCCTTTCAGAGGGCTAGGACAACAGGCTGCAGGAATGCGACCTTGGGTACTGTGTGGGGAGGCTGAGAAAACAGAGCTGCCCCCGTTGTCATCAACCGAGCCTAGTTCTGGCATAGCCCAGCCACAGCACAACTGTGGTGGAACCGTGGCGTGTGAGGCATTACAGGCATTCTACATTCCCTGTAGAATAGGAGGGGCTGTCCCAAGTGTTTTCCCACTTGAGAATTCACTCAGCACACATTCCCCATGCGTCCAACAAGTGCATGGTACTGGGCTCAGGAAGCATCTGTCTCAGAGCTGTGATGCCAAATGAGAGTCCTAATAGTTTTCTCTAAAATGTTTAGGAAGGCCACTTTTAGCAAAATTTGACACAAACTGGAATTTGAAATTTTTGCAGCCAGAGATAAACACAACTAAACTGTGGAAGTTAATGGCCAAACCCAGTAATTCAGTGGGAACTTCTGTCTGAAGCTTGGTCAGTTTACTCTTTTACAGATGGTCCCAGGGAGATTATCTCAGAGGCAGCAGGATACACAGGACACCCTATAGGGAGACCATTTATCTTCATACTCTTAAAGAGTACTGAATCAGCTTTGTGAAGAATTCTGCATTTCATAATGTATTTTTTAAAAGATTTTATTTATTTGACAGAGAGATATCACAAGTAGGCAGAGAGGCAGGCAGAGAGAGAGGAAAGCAGACTCCCCACTGAGCAGAGAGTCCAATGTGGGGCTCGATCCCTGGACCGTGAGATCATGACCTGAGCCCAAGGCAGAGGCTTAACCCACAGAAGCACCCATGCGCCCAAGTGAATTCAAGCATCACTTATTCTTGGTTGCAAAAGCTATAAATGCATATTAATAATGTATTTTCCGACCACTTGGAACCTGGCATGAAGTCTCTACTATTAACATAGGAATTCACTTTCTATCAACATGACCCTTTCTTCAGAGGCTCACTAGAAGTTGGATTTGCTTTCTAAAACACACCAATAATCAAAAAACCACACATCACAGACATTATTTTTAATACCAGCATCTCCAGCAGCAAATGGGTTGAGAATTTCACATTTTCCAAGTTAGGTGCTAAGATCTTTACAGGGACCATCCCTTTTAATTACCACCACCCCCCAAGATTAAATTTTATTATTGATCCTATTTTACAGATGAGGAAAATGGAAGCTTAGGCAACTCTAATACCATGCTTGTGGTCTCAGAGCTAGTGGGTAGCAGAACTGGATTTTGAATTCACCGAGTCTAACTCTGGTCTTTGCTATCGAGCATGTACTATATTGGCTCCCTAGCAATGGACAGGCCAAGAACTGAAAGAGGAAATAATAAATCCAAGGTCACAAGGAATCATAGAATAAGTAAAATGCCAGGCATCCAACAGGTGAAAACAAACAGACACTTATGAAATCTACGATGAAACTCTGGGAAAGATATTTTAATGTCTTGAGTAATCTGGAACCTACTTTATTTTTCCATGGAGTCCAAGAGAAGGAAACAAATTACACTGCCATATACCTTTCCATCAGTGAAGTATCGGCAATTCATTTTGAGAAATTTTACCACGCCTGGCTCATCTTCTTCAGAAGTGGATGATAAGACTCTTTCAATGGGTTTTAAGGCCTTTCTTGCTAAGTCAGCATCCTTGAAGAAAGCAAAAATCCCCAAAATCAGATAGAAGCACTGTTTAAACAGGTTATGCATATAAATCAAGCCATACAAGTTTCCTGTAAGGAACCTGTTTCTATTTAACATGAACATGAAAAAGAGGCAAATATCCCTTGTCCTTCAAAAATGATCACAAATACACTAAGTATCCAAATCGCATTAAGGTTTAAACAACAACACGAGCATATGTATGAAACCGTAAAAACAGCTCATCGAATGTTTTTAGAAAATAACCTAAATGTAGGAACTCATATTTGACTCAGGGCTCAAGTTCTCTAGAGAAGGGAGTAAAAGCCACACAAACAAACGATCAGTCTCAGTGAGAGTTTAACTTCATACTTTTACATAAACGAGGTGTGCATTTTTGCCTCTGAGACCTTAAACGTGAACAGGTTTCTTTTTGATGGGATGCATTCTCTCAACTAACAACAAATCCTTATCCCCACCCCTCTGGGGGCATTTCAGATGAAAACCTGTGTAAAATTCTACAACTCAAAAAATATGTTTGATAAATATGTCAGCTCACAAATGACATACATACAGGCAGCTTATCATATTCTGCATCTGATGATGAAGGAGAGACAGTAGCACCAGGACTGGATGATGATAACCTTAAGGTACTGGAAGGAAAGTTGGCATCTGGCACAAAAAGGACCTGCAAATGGGAAAGAAAAGCTGAGGATGAAGAATCAGGCAGGCACACACTAGGCAGTGTTTAGAACTGTTGCTCTCTGCACAGTATCATGCTAAGTATATGGCTAATACCTGGTTAGCCTTTGCAAAATGCCTAGTACCTTGGGGACTTCTAGACTAATCAAGAAACAATGCTCTACAATAGGAATGTGTGCAGTGCAAAAGGTCTGGGACATACCTACAGACACTGCAGGAGCTCACAGAAGAACAAGGTGGGTGAGCACCCTGGGCAGGTCGTAGACAGCAAGTGGGCCCAAGTGAAACTTTGAGCAGTATGGGAGATTTAAATAGGGAGGAAAGAAGCTTCCAGGGAAGGGTACTAATAGTACCAGGGAAGAGAGAGAGAGTAGCATGCATGCTTCTAAACATAACACCTGCATCAGGAAGAAATGGAACAAATCCACGCTTGCTAATTCTAAGCAGGCCCTGAGTGCTAACATAGTAAGACCATTGTATAGTAAGTCGTACAAGGTAATTATCAATAACCTCAATACTTTCTCTTCTATAGCTGTCAGCTTATCAAAAAACAAGTATTAAAATCTCCCAAATTGTACAAAACAGCCTTCTTCTGCAAAATGTACTGGTTCCTGAAATGTCATTATGATCTTGTCATTCAGCACACTTATAATGAGACATGTGACATTCTGGCATATATCATATATGGTATTAAAATGATGGCTTCTGTTACAAAACGTAATTAGCACTAATCATGTAACAACTGCTTAATAGTGTTTGTTATTCACTCTTTCCCATCTTGTCTCTGCTCTAACTTTAGTTATTCAAATCTCTCTTCAATCTAGGAAAAATGTGAGGCAACAACAAAAGACACTTTATGATAAAGACAGGGAAACCAACATCAGGAAGAAATAAGATGAAGACTAATTACTACTGAAACTATGTGCTCCAAGATTACCGCTCATTGAGGGGTGAGCCATAACACTGGTTCTCAGTTTCCAAATAACCAATGCAAAGGGATGGACATCATTAGTCAGCAGAATTCAACGACCATAAGATAAAAGCCTGCTTCTGTTGAGTATTTTCTCATTACGTCTCATAAAGAGTGTCCCAGGCTGAACACTTGTCTTTTATGACACAGTGATAGTTCGTACAATAACCAGTTTTGGAGGACTGTTCTCTACTACGTCTTCAATGTGAATCAGTGGCAAATGCCAAAGTGTAGAGTTCCATAAGAGCAACTTACAGAGGCCTGTCATTACACAGTCTTGGTAGACAGCTCTTATACTTACCTTATGTATCTAGACCAGAGGAATGAAGAGATGACATTTCTTCCAAGCAATTCTCCATGAATATTTTTTTGTATCTGAGCTCTTGACAAGTGTTAGGCAACACAGGTTAAGAGTCTACTGTCCGGCCTGTTCTAAATGTCCAAAGAGATAATTCCTGTGTTTACGCAGTTTGTTGCAATGCAAACAGAGATGACCATTGGATGCTGGGGAGCTCAGTAGAAACACCTGCTACCTCACATGGAAACGAGCCTGGAACTCTGGCAGGGGTAAAGGTTGCCTACTGACTTCAGAAAATAACGCTAGGTCTGCTCCAACACACAGGCAAATGGGGGATATGAGGTCATCACGTTCTTTACTGTAAAACAAGCCTGTCATCATTTTAGCTTAGAAATTTTTCTAAGCATGTGTAGCCAAGCCACCCGTGAAAATAAAAACAACTTCAACCACGTCTCTGCAAGGGAACTTCTGAGTGTGCTCAAGATAAACTACTTGAAAAAGTACACTCTTTTTCCTGAAATTTGATCTAAGTATCGAAACTAACAGCCAAACTCAGGACCGTCTAAAAAAATTTTTATGCCTCAGTTATTTAAGGTTTGTCTGCTATTGGTTTTGGTCTTTTAAACAACAAAAGGTCTACAGTAAGATTGTAGTTCAGTAAGTTACAGATTCCTTTGAAAATCACCTCTTACATGTACTCACCCAGCCCGACCAGTTTCCTTTCCTACCTCATGGTGACCATCAAATTGGTCTCTAGAAGGGTGAGTCTCAACTTTTTTGGAATCAGAGCAGATAAAACCAGCTTTGAGTTATGAGACCTACTGAGATTAAAGGAATACCTACCCTTGCGGGCACTAAGACAAAAAATTATCTACAGTTTTTGAAATCCCCTTAATTTCACTCTTCTTGATTTCTTACCTTCGTTAGCAAAATCCTCATTACAGCTGGGTCCTGGGACAGCCAACAGCATGTAACTGTATAGTTATATGAGGGGCTAGACAGCATAGCAAAGGCTATCATAGGAAACACATCAGAGATATTGTGCCCCCCCATTTCAGGGATTAGAAAACTGAGGTCCCAAAAAGGAAGGGACTTGCCCATCTCAAACAGCTACCATAAGGCCAGTCAGAAATAAAGCTTTAGGGCTCCTATTTTGTGTATTTTTGCCATTACAATCTGTATATTAAAATAGTTCTTTTACTTCTAGTTGGCTATGTTTATGGACATAGTTAAAAAATAAGGAATCAGGGACGCCTGGGTGGCTCAGTTGGTTAAGCAGCTGCCTTCGGCTCAGGTCATGATCCCGGCGTCCTGGGATCGAGTCCCGCGTCGGGCTCCTTGCTCGTCAGGGAGCTTGCTTCTCCCTCTGCCTCTGCCTGCCATTCTGTCTGCCTGTGCTTGCTCTCTCTCCCCCTCTCTCTCTGACAAATAAATAAATAAAATCTTAAAAAAAAAAAAAAAATAAAAAATAAAAAAAAAAATAAGGAATCACTTTAAGTTTTGTTTCTGCATTCTACTGACTATAGTCTTTAGCCTTGAATTAATAAATATACACCTAGGTTCTCTACTATAGGTCAGTGATATGTAGCAGCACTCCAGATTATAAGAAACCCCAAGAAGGACAAATCTACTATTAATTTTCCTAGAGATAAATTTTCATTAATTTTTGAAGAGTTTTAAATGCATATGTATTGGCAGCATGGTAATTTCTCTTTTAAATACTAAATACGAAAGCACCAAAAGTACTAAAGAGTAAATACCAAATACTAAATAGTAAAGGCACCATATACAAACCGGCCAACTTAGGTCCTACTGGGTTCATATGGGGCCCTTGTACTTAAAAGCAGCAGTATCTATTCTGAAAGAAATCAGATGTCACTATCATGTAAAGGGGCAGAAAGATGCTCAAGTAAGTCAGCAATGAAACCAGCAGGTACTCATGGCAAGCGGACAGTTGTATGGATGGAAGGGGAAACCTGGCCTCAGTCAGGACCTGCCAAAGACTAGGTCACTTATATCAATTGGCTAAATGTGGTTTTAAAGTAGAAATACAAGAATATCTTATTAAATATGTGGAAGGTACTAAAAGAATTTACTGGTTTAACTGACAGTGGCAAAATTACACAATTGGTCAATTTCATTTGGTTTAATAAATAAGGCATTAAAAACCCAGGGGGAAAATCGTGTAGCTTTTACTTGATAGTCCTACTGAATTTCTCTGCTTTGGACTGACCATTTTTTTCGGGTATCAAATCAAGACAAAAAAGACAAAATTCTATCTTATTTATTTAGTTAGTTATTTTAAGTAGGTTCCATGTTCCGTGTGAAGCCCATCGCAGGGCTTGAACTCATGACCCCTGAAATCAAGACCTGAGCTGAGATCAAGAGTTGGATGCTTAATTGACAGAGCTACCCTGGTACCCCAAAATTCTGTCCAATTTAAAATCAAATGAAGGTCATTATGTATCCCAGGAGTAGAATAAACTGAAACTTGCACTTCTAAATTAAACATTCTAGGAACATTTGAGTTACATTCTACAGAAGAAAAAGTCAAATTTAACTTCTCTTGCTGCCATAGGGAACATCTACAACATACACTAATGATTAAGTAAACTGTGTTAATCATTTGCAAATGCAAAATGCAGAACACAGTTCCTCAGTTCCAGAATGCTTTTAGAGTTCTTGATCCAAGGGAAAGATGGGACCAACGCACATTATCACCAATGTGGATCCTGTGACACTAACAGTGAAGCATTAAAAATGGCATTAACGATAAATGCAAAATTCCTAAAAAGTAATATCCAATAAGAAAAGAATTACCTGGCCTGGAACAATAGTGTGTGTGAAAAGTTTATTCAGTTCCACTAATTTATTGGGAGTGATGTTAAACTTCAGGGCTATGGAGTTTAGGGTGTCCTGGCTTCCAGCCTAGAATAATCAGACAAACAAGATTCAAAATATAAAGCAAAAACAAAAACAAAAAAACCAAACACCTTTCCTTGTAGTAGCCAACATTCATCTATTTGCAATATGACTGAATGAAAAGTAGTTCTAGCCAGACATATCCTGAAAAAGAAAAGTGAGTAGAGTCTCAAGTCTTAATGAAACCACGGAAGAGCGAGGTCTTAAATCAGTTCATTTCTGGGCTTCCTTATCTTCAAATTTCAGTGTCCACTAATTAGATTTCTAAACCTATTTTGGCACCACTTCTGTATGGAGTAGAAGTCCATGAGATACAATACAAAACTCTAAGTAGAGAAGAAATAAAGCACGGACACAGTACCCACCCAAAAGGGAAGTCAGGGCTACTTTCTCTATTCTCAATGTTGTCTCTTGCCAGTCTCTTCGCTGCTCTAAAGGCTCCTAGAGGGTGACCGGTTAATGGCTGATTTCCCCAGTGTCAGCACAGTGCCCAAAAAACAGAAGGTACTCAAACATTTGACAAATGAATACAATGGAAGGCAAAGAAATGGGAAAGAAATTCAGATTAGCTACCCATCATTGTTCAGTCATTACAATGGCAACTTCTCATAGTCAGCCAATTAAGGTTGTCTAAATCTGTGAAACCTGTGATACACGCCCCAGATGGAGGTTTCTTTCCTTTTCTAATAGGGGGGAAACGGGCCTAATGAGGGCAATGAGATGATGGGAAACTTCACAGTAAATAGCTCCACCCAAAAAAGTCTGCGGCCTCTGGAAAGGTCAATATCCCAAAATCCCTGTCTAGAGTCACTGGATGGAACTTGTTAGTGGGATGCCACTCTGGTGTGTGTCACTAAGAAGTTCCCATCTACAGTCACAGGTCAAGACCCGTGGCTGTACGTACGCAAAACTGGCTTCCCCAGGTAAGCCCTGAATGAGGCAGCAATGGGAGGCAGGGATGGGAGGTCGTGGACCAGGGAAGATGGAGATGTAGAATGAAACTCACCACCAGTCTGAGCATCAAAAACCCCCTAACCAGATGAACGGTCTCAGACTAATCAAATTCCTAGTTACAGATGACATCAGAATGACCTTGAAGCATTTCTGGAACAAGTCAGTATTTTTAAAAAGTCATTGAAAATTTAACAACATATGCCCCTACTTCTACTCTGGGCAAAACCAGCCTTACCAAAAGTGTAAAAAAAAAAAAAAAAAAAAAAA